AGTTTAACATACCTCTTCAGAATAGCTCCTTATTGCCAAATGGTATTTATTATTCATTATTATTTAGTTAATCCTGATCGTACAATACTTAGAATATGTTAGAATCCTTAGTTAGAAGCATCAGGAACACTTATCTTATAAGGACAATTCATGAATTATTAAGGGATAGATTTAAAACCTTTGTTTAAATCAATAGGAAGTTGCTTTTTAGAAGACTTAAAACAAAAGCAAAAGTGAATTTTAATATTCATTAAAAACATTACAATCATTTCTTTATAACATTTTTGAATAATATGTGTTTTTCGTTACTATTTAAATATTTGATCAATATTGAGATGTCAGAAACAACGTTTATAAATTAATATTTATAGACGTACAATACACTATTATATTTTTAATATAAACAGAGTAAACAGATTTAGTCGTAATAAAGATTATTAATAGTTTAGTAAAATTTAGATCTTTAGTTTATAAAAAGGTAATGATACAATTTATAACAAAGATAAAAAGAAAGATACATTTAAATAATTTACAAAATAAAATTAAACTTACTATTAATCTTAAATGATACAAAAGTTAAACATTGGGATTGAATGATTTTTAAAATTACTCTACTCTGATCTTGGTAATATTTTCATAACCTGTTATTTATTATTTTAAATTGATATTAAAAGTATTAGAGAGAATAAAGGACTGAAAAGATATATTAATCATCAATAAGTATTCCAACCCCTAATAGGACTTAGAGATCTTAATTATATCCATCCCTAACAATAATTTTAAATAAGATCTATCTGAATTACATTAATAATTTTGCATATAAGGAACAGTTATTAATAATTAAGATAAGAACTATATAATCTTACTTAAAAAAATAACAAAATTGTTCTTCTCTATAACTTTGATTTTAACTCAATTAGACAATAAATTTTTAGAATTAACTAAATTTATTTATTATCTCTTAAAAAGTTTTAAGTTACACCCTCATATACTAGTGAATTTAAAACCAAATTAGCAAGTTTCTTGTAAAAATTTGTCTATAGAAGTAACTTCTTTGTATTGATATTTTTGAAAAATTATGATTTAGAATAAATAGATTACTTTAACTGAAAAATTCTAAATATTTAAAGTAATATATATTAAAGTTTTGAATTATTGGTGTTATTTTTATTCTATATTCTTTAAGAATCCAATTATGCATAAATCTATGTAAGTATTCTCTAGTATAATTTACATCTACCATAAATCTTTGTGATATTGATGTTTCTTCCAAACAAAAATATGAAAGATACATTTTTGATTCATAGTATAAAACTCAAAATAAACTAATAGAAATTCAAGAATTTTTTAAAAAAGATTATGAATTGCACTCATCATATTCGAAATCAAGTATCAATAATCTGTATTGCCCCTCATAAGTGTAAATGTTAAAGGAAACTATGTATTTAATGCCTTTATGAACATGGAGTGGATTTTAGAAAATATACAGTTCCAAAAATTGTATTTCAAGAAATGATTGTTAATAAATAGAGAAAATATGTGCCTTAAGAGCCATTTGATATAGCATATCATAGAATCAAATTTAAATCAATGATTTCTAAAACCTAATACGTGATAAAATAAATATGGGATTAATTAACCGAATCAATATCAAAGATATATGATCTATTAGAAATGGAAGATAAATCTAATTTGAAAATCATGGAAGGTGTGAATCCAACAGAATTGTCAAATACTGATTTGGAAAAATTAATTTAAATTATTATTGGAAATAGTTTAGAGGATTGGAATATATTGAAATTGTCTTAATTGAATAGGTTGGAAGCGATAATGAATTATTGGGAAATGGAAACGAAAGAATTTTGTGAAAAATTGAATAAAGAAATGAAGGAGATTACTTAATTAATAAAAAGTCATGATAATAATCAAGTTTATAATAGAAATGATGATTTGTATGAGGTATTGACTTAGACAAAAAATATCGATGGATCCTTTTTTAATGAGTTAATTACGATAATGAGAAAAGAAAATACTACCAATTGTTTAGAATTTTTTTCTAAAAATAGTAAAGACTAAACTCTATTCAAATATATCTCAAATTTGATGTAAAATATGAGTGAACTAGACTTTAATAACAAAAATTATTCAACTGAGAACAATGATAAATTGATAAAATAAATATCTTATGATTAGCACATTATTGAATTTTTGAAATTCCTAGTATATTTGACAGCCATTGATGAGAGATTTATTTAATGTGGATCCAATTCACTCAATTTATTAGTCAAGATGAATGCTGATTTGAGGCAATAAAACTTTGAGAATATCAGAATTAGAGACATTTCTTTGGTAGGTGGAAATTTTGTAAGATGCAATTTCAGCAAATCAGAATTTGATAATGTAGATAATAGTGGAATGAATTTGAATTAAGCTTTATTGTTAAATTGCAAATGGAAGAATATTAAAATACATGAGTTAAATGAATTAGATGGTCATTCTAGTTATGTTAATTCAGTCATTTTCTCTTCTGATGGTACTACATTAGCATCAGGTAGTTCAGATAACTCTATCCGTTTATGGGATGTTAAGACAGGATAAGAAAAAGCCAAATTATATGGTCATTTAGAAAGTGTTAATTCAATTTGTTACTCTCCTGATGGTACTACATTAGCATCTGGTAGTTCAGATAAGTCAATCCGTTTATGGGATGTTAAGACAGGATAATTAACAGCCAAATTAGATGGTCATTCATCAGCAGTTTATTCAATTTGTTACTCTCCTGATGGTACTACATTAGCATCTGGTAGTGCAGATAACTCTATCCGTTTATGGGATGTTAA